CTCAGCCTGCTCTCCTGAGAAACCCAGGACGACCCGCACAGGGTGGGTATCACCTATAGTGAGCTGAATGCTCACATATCAGCCATCAGTAAAGAAAGACAGCTCCCCTCCCCCTACATGAGGCATTTTCTCATCTGAGGCCCCTTCTCCCAAGATAGCCCAAGCTTCCACAGTGATGAGCATGTGTTTATGCTCAGGCTGTTGCTAGGAGGGCCACAAGACTAACAATGGCTGCCTTCAGGTGAAGACCAGAAGTTTCAGATTGTATGAATATAGTAGCCTGCAAAAATAATATTTCTTAAAATTACAGTCCCTAGAGATAAGTAAATAGGCAGAGAATCACAAGACGGTCACTCTATCCAGGCCATTCTGCTGTTCTTTCTCTGTCTTCAGCAACCTTCACTTTGCATTTCTCCTGCTCACTTCTGGGTCTGGAAGTTTTTTCTGACAGTTGTACTTTCTATCTGAATTTGATCCTCTTCCCCTGACTCTCACATGCTCTCACAGCCTCAGGCATCCTTGAATACAGTACTTGGCCCCCTTGACTGTAATTGTGGGCATAGGATAAGTTTGTTCTGTAGTAGGTCTGAGGACCTTGGTGGGACACTTGCGTCACAGTAGGCTTAGATCTAAATGTCCTCCATAGCTCACATGAACACTTGGTCTCCAACTAGTGGTGCTATTCTGCAGGCTGTGAAGGCTTCAGAAAGTGGGCACTGGCAGGTGGAAGTAGCTTGACAGTGGTCTGACAGGATTAAGAGGTAGATGGAGCTCTCTGAGTTCAAGGCCACCCAGAATACACAAGATTGACTCAGTCTAAAAGAGTGACATATCACATGCCTTTAATCCCAGCACTGAAGGGGTATATAAGATAGAAGCAGGGTCTTCAGTATTCAATAGGGGGCATTTATTCTCCACCACACTGAAGAGTAGGAGGCATTCACTCTCCAGCCATGCTGAGGCGAGGCAGCAGCATCAGCCCTTTCAGCCAGAGATAGAGGTGAGAGCTAGTGGCTGGCTACTTCGCTTTTCTGACCTACATCTTGAAGCTTAAACCCCAATATCAGTCTCTGGGTCTTTTATTTATTTGTGTTACAGTTCGTAGCAGCTTTCATGATGTAGAAATAAGCCAAATGCCTCTCTGTGGGTTAGTGAATAAACTTCACACACTTCATTCACAAAGCAGAAGAATGTTTGTCAGTGAAAAGAAAAAAGGGAGTAAAGTCCTAGACAGATTATAAACTGGATGACCTCTGAGGGCATGATGCTGAGCCAATCCCAGAACCTACATGTTGTTGGTTCCACATGGAATGTCCAGAATAAGGAGATTCACAGGGACAAGAATAGATTAATGGTTGCAGGGTTTGGGGGAGGGAGAAGCTGGAGGAAGAGCTGCTGGGAGGTGAAGGGTTTCTTTGTAGGGCAATGGAAGTGTTTTAAGATCGATTGTTATGATGGCTGCACAGATCTTTGAATATAATAAAACCCAGAGGGTGTACACTTTTTCTGGGTGCATTTTACCATCTGTGAAATGTGTCTTCATCAAACTGCTCTAAAAATCAAATAGGAATGACTTGGATGGGCTTCAAGGTGTGACCCAAGAAGTTCACAGAGCTCTAGAAACACTGATGCCCTGTGCTCAGGTGGCGCTCACTCTCCTACCCTGAGCCATTGGCTTCTCCCACAGACCTCAAGGCCCAAGTGGGAGGAAGCTGATTTTGGGTTTCAGGGAGAAATGCTGCAGGATTTCTTTCCTTCTGGCTCCATGAAATCTCTCAGAGAATGCCACTGAGCATGTGTTTGGGGTAGGGCAGAAAGAGAAAGGTGTGGAGAAGGAGACTACAAAGTGAATCATTAATTCCACGGTTGTCTGAGCACTAACTGTGCACCAAGAGCTATGTTGAATAGGAAGAGTTTGGGCACAAATAAGTGCCAGGTTCCATGTGGGTGCTGGGAATTGAATGAGAGTCTCTGAAAGAACAGCCAGAGCTGTTAACCATGGAACCATCTCTCCAGTTCCAGGGCCTCTAGCATCTACACACAGACATACATGCAGGCAAAGCACCAATGAACATAAAATAAAAATATATTATTCATTTAAAAATTTAAAAAGGTTAAAATTAAAAGAGAGAAGGAAGAAGGGAAGGAAGGAAGAAGGGAAGGAAGGAAAGAAGGGAAGGAAGGAAGGAAGGAAGGGAGGAAGAAAGAAAGGAAGTAAAGGAAAGCAATGTCAGGTTCCCTTGCCTGGAAGATTCTGAAGAGACTGGCTGGAGGCTGGAAGGCATGCTGCTAATGTGGTAAGAATGTTAGCACACTGGGTCTTGCTTCACTCCTGCCTGAAGCTACGTGCCATTTGCATGCTGGCCCCACTATGAGTGTGAGCCTGGGGGACAGGGGATTCAAGGTGTTGGAGCGGCAAATCTCCCATGTCCTGTTGAAAGGTCTACGTTACTGGAAGCCAGAGTTCCAAGCTGGACGGATAGGCATGTGCTGTCCCACAGATAGGAAGGTGAGGGGGTCCACTGCCACGCTGGACCTTAAAACTGTTAAAGGAGCAGAACAAGTGAGTCCTCACCACACGGCTTCCATTTCGTGCCTGTCTATTTCTTTCAAATACATACAGATTACAGGAGAAAAGTGTGTTCCAGCTTCTAAGTCAACAGATGTCACAAGGCAACATCACCGACACAGTGGACAACGGCGCTCCTCCCTCCCTCTCTCTCTCTCTCTCTCTCTCTCTCTCTCTCTCTCTCTCTCTCTCTCTCTCTCTCCTCTGGTTTTGGAGCGGTATTGAGAGACCCCAACTCAACATTTTTAGACCCCTAGCAACTAGCCCATCACTGAGTTGTTGGGGTCCCCAAGCTGGATTCGTCGCCCCAAGAATCAAGAGTCCACACGCCAATTGATGCAACACGCAAGAGGCTTTAATTAGGCATCTGCAGATGGGCCTCTTGGTCAGCTTTTAGACCGATTGGCCCTGAGGTTCAGTTACAATCAGCTTTTAAAGACAAAAACCACAAGCCTTTGGGAGGGGTCCCTATCTTGTGACAGGAGGCGGGGTACGTGACCACTGACCAGGGGAAGTAGATGTTCTCCTGACCTACACATTGTAAATTCCTCAGACCTTGGTATGTGCTAATCATCTCTCCCTAAGTAAATGGTGTTATCATCTCCTTGTTTCCCACGAATCTTGTTTGCCCATCTCTGACGCCCTGGTCAGTTCATCACAGGTGGTCAACAGCCTGGAATTTGGCCTTTTGTGGGTTTACAGCCCTTCTGCAATTAAGGTTGCTAAACCATACATTCCATTCTGTGGTTTGGCCCGTTCCTGGAATGAGGCCCTTTGTTCACTTCCTGAGTTCTTTAGTGGGGTGGCCTCCTTATTTAAGCTTATATTTTATTTCTATAAATTCGAGGTCTTTCAGAGTAACTTGTCCTTCTGCCCTCTCCCGAGAAACTGGAGACCTCAAGATAAACTTAAAAGATAACACTCCCTGATCCAGGAACTAGCTCACCACATTCCTGCTCAATGTTTACCTGTACAATGCCCAAAGAATGCTTGCTTGAGATAACCTATAACCTTCCCATTATGGCATGAGCTATCACTTAACTTCCCCATCCTTTATGGTGTTTACCTAACTTCCCCATCCTTTATGTTTGCCTAACTCCCCCATTCCGTTTTTCCCTTTAAAAAACCCTTGACTGCAGCTACTAGGGGTCGAACTCCTCTGCCCCTGCGAGGATTATGAGCTTGGCCCCAGTGCACTGGTTCCCCGAATAAACCTCGTGTGCTCGCATCAAGAACAGTCTCTCGCCAGGCGGTGGTGGCGCACACCTTTAATCCCAGCACTTGGGAGGCAGTGGCAGGCAGATCTCTGTGAGTTCGAGGCCGGGCTGGACCGACAGCCTCCAAAACAATACAGAGAAACCCTGTCTCATAAAAACCAAAAAAAAAAAAAAAAAAAAAAAAAAAAGAACCGTCTCTCTTGAATTATTGGGGAGTCGGCTTATCTCCACACTGGGGGTCTTTCAGTATCTTTCCCTGTAGCTCAGGCCTACAACCTTCCTGCTTGAGCCTCCTGAGCTCCTGAGGTCTGGAATTGCTTAACCCTCCCTGCCTCTTCCCTTCACACATTGCTTTGTGGTCACCCAGTGATTCATGGCCAGCACCACTCAAGCACCTACAAATCTAAACTTGACGGAAGTCTCATCTCCATCCACTCTGCCACTTCACCGCAGGTGGAGCAGGAGCTGGGATCCTACTGTTGGGACTGCTGGGCGGGTCTCTGGGCCCTGCTGGGACCAAGAGGGTCGTGGATGGCGTGAAGAACTTGTAGACTGACTCATTGAAAGTTTTACTGAGTGGAAGGTAAGAAACTGAGGTAAAGAGACACAGAGACAGAGAGGGGACAGAAGAGAAGAGGGAGACAGGAAAAGTTCTGTCTGCCCCAGGAGAACAGCGGGAAAGAGCGTTAGTGGGTGGGGATCTTTCTTTTAAAGGGGTCCTTTGTACCTGTGTGCTGACCAGGGTGCTGCCTGAGTGCATTCTGTCAGGTAACAGGGGCAGGCAGTATAATGCCAGACTCCTTAGATCTACCAGCAATTCTCTGCCCTTCAGGTTCGGGGAAAGTGGAGCAGAGAGGAAAGACAAGGGACCAGCCCTCTCTAACTGCCTAGTCACAGCCTGCCACCTATCATGACTCCCCCAGGCTGACCAGTCTGGGTACAGGGCAGTTGAGACCACCGGGTTCATAATGACAGGGATAGGCAGCCTTGACCACCCTCTTGGTGTGTCATGTATTGCTTTTCTGACTTCTCTTGAATTCTCCAAGGAGACATATAGATGAGGACTTTGGGGACAGACCTTAGGCTAACTAGAATGGGCTAGCTGGCCTGTTGGGTAACAGGCTATCACACAAGTCAACAAGGAACAAACAGACCACAATGTTTAGAGTCTCCTTTAGTTACCATCAAAGCCTGATTTCCTGCCTGGCAACAAAGTCAGGAGGGAAAGAAGATCGTGGTATCTGAAATAGACGTGGGCTGGAACGCTGGATGAAGATTCTGGATAGCCACACACACAGGGAGCCTTCCAGGATGTGGGGGGCAGTCATTGTCCTTGCTCTCCTGGAGCTCACCTCAGGTAGGAGCTCTAGCGCTGGGAAGCCTTGCTTAGCCTGCTTGCTTTGCCGATACCTTTTGTGAGCATGCCCTGAGAGAGCACAAAACCACTGTGAGGGTGCAACTCCTGTGAGGAGGGAAAGGTGGCTCTCTGGGGACAGGGGTCCTGGAGCAGATGCACTTAGAGACCCACAGCAGAGGCCAGGCTTGTCCAGGCCCCACTCTGCTGTGACTGACCGATGCAAGGAGCCTTCCTGAGAACTAAGCTAGGTTCTTACAGCCTGGTTGTGGTTGGATATCAAGCCAGTCTTTGTGAGAATTTGTCCTTCTTTGAGGCGTTGAACTTGGCAAGTCATCCTTTGGGGAAACAGATACAGAGAGAGCAATTGTCTCCGTATGGGGCAAAGGCTGGTCCTTCTGATAAAGGGCCCAAGACTCCAGCTGAGGCGTCCTACACACTCTCTTATTCAAGAGTGTCAAGAATCCTGTGTTATTACTTTTTAAAGATCTATTTATTTTTATGTGCATTGGCATTTTGTCTGGGTGTATATTTATGTGAGAGTGTCAGGTCCCTGGAACTGGAGCTACAGACAACCGTGAGCTGCCATGTGGGTGCTGGGAATTGAACCTGGGATCTCGAGAAGAGCCGTCAGTGATCTCAACCCTTAAGCCATCTCTCCAGCTGCCAAAAATCTTGTGTTTTTTCAAGAATATCTTCGGTATGGATTATTGAAATTAAGCTTTTTAAATTAAATTTTGTATTTTGACTATGTAATACAGCATAATAAATGGAATTCACTCATGTTGATTTGCAGGCTAATTTAGGGGTAATTTACACCTCTGATGAGTTATATGGTGAAATACTTAGAGAAGGACGTGGAACAAAGTAAATGTTTAGTAAGAGGTGGTACTGACGATTCGTGCTGCTCAGCTCCAGATGTTTGCTCAAATCTCCTTTGCTTCCCTCAGGGGTGGGGCTGGTTTCCTTGTGTGGATCTCAGTTATTTGTGGGGAGTCCTTTTTCTTTCTTTACATTTGTAAATAAAATCTTCTCTTTTCTTTCATCTTTTAGCTTGTTGTCATACAATATGGGTGCCGGTTAATGACTTTTCTCACTCTTTCTAATGTTTCATGTTTAATTTGTATGCACTTTGCAGGATTGAGGAGAGTGGACCCTGGTAGTCCTCTGCTCTGACTGTTCTGTGTGCCATTTCTTTCTCTGACCTAGTTGCCAGCCTGTCCTTCCTGACCATTTATAACTAATGAGAAAAATGTGTGTCGCTGTTTCTGTACCCCAAGGCAGGATTGCTAGCTTTTGGTGTAAGACAAAAATGTTTTCTGCATTAGCAGATGGTTTTATCTGGATTATTAGTTCTAAATCAAAATGGATTTTTAAATCAAAATGCTTTTTGAAAATCCATAAGAATGAACATTTGATTTTTCTCTTCTGATCTGCTAAATAAAAGATAGCATGGTTTACTCACATTGAGCTGCTCCACCTGGCTTTGCCTGTGGAAAGCAGATCTACAGAGTTAGCAGGCCATGAATGGTCTGGAAGCTTGTTTGAGGAAACATCTGAAGGTTCCCCAGAAATATGAGTTGAAAGGTGACATTTATTGTCAGGAGGGGAGGAGTGAGGTTACATGGGATGGGGACAGTAGCTTTTATTCAAACATTGTAATCTGGAATGCTGTTATCAGATGTGTGGAAGAAACAAATGGCCCAGGTTTGCAAGCACTTGGGGCACTTGGGATTTCCTGTATAAATCACTTCTGGCCTAACACAGCACACACTAAACAACTCATTTCCCAGCACTGTCAAGCCCTAGCTTTTGATGATGTGGTTTGTTTATTGCTCATCTTTTGGGAGTCTGCGAACCTGATCATAATCTTACCCTGCAGGGATCTGAGAGATTCTAGGTGTGTGGGCAGACAGCGTGTGCCTGCCTTCAGAACTCAGCAGCTCAGAATATGGATACAGCCTCCTCTTTTGTTTCTCACACCCTAAGTTCCTTCAAGGCACATATCAGGGTCCACTATCCCCTAGAGCCCTCCCACTTGCTCCAGTTTATCAGAGACCCTCTTCCCTGTGTGCCCTGGAACAGCCCTTGCCTCTGTGTTTTCTATGCCAACAGCTCAGCACAATGCCTGAGTGCTCAACAAGCAGACATGAGCCCCGAAAGTCACCTCTAGAATGTGTGTCCTATCTCTGCCACTCCAATGTCGGCCCAGCCATGTCAGGGTTTACACATTTCTTAGTGCTCCGTGGGTTGCCACAATCAGCATGGCATCCAGTATGTATTTAATTGAGTTGGTCGTCATCTGTCAGAGTCTGGTGCACATGTGTCTGTGTCTTTCACATTTACTGGTGAGCCTTCACCGAATGTAGAGCATCAGGCCTTTGGTTTCTGTTCTCCCTATCTCCTACCAAGATGAGGGAAAGGAAAGTTTGTGCTTGGGGAATGGTCATGAGCCATTCTGATAATGACTTACAAAGGAAATTCCCAGAGAACAGAAATGAGACAACTCCTGACTGTATCCATGGGAAAGAGTTGGGACCAGAGTCTTTGCACTCCATAAGCACAAAGAATCACATGCTCTCCACTAGCCAGAAAATGGAGGACCCAAGGTATTCAAACCCAAGGTATATGGAAGCTCCAGGAAACCAGCTTTTGCTTTACCCCATGGAAACAAACAAACAAAAGCATGCCAGGGAGTGAAAGACTTCCTTGGAGTCTGGAGGTCTGACGTGACCATGAAATAGCTCCAGGTCCCTGGAGTGTGTGTGTGTGTGTGTGTGTGTGTGTTGCTTGCATGTATGTCTGCACACTGTGTGTATTTAGTGCCCACAGAGGCCAGAAGATGTCAGAGCCCCTGGAACTGGAGTTACAGATGATTGTGAGCTGTCACGTGGGTGCTGGAAATCCAGCCTGGGTCCTCTCAAGAATAATCTGTGCTCTTAGCCGCTGAGCCACGTCTCCATAACTGTTTTCATCATCATCATCATCATCATCATCATTATTATTACTTTGTTAATTTGAGACAGGTTTTTTTCTGTGTATTCCTGGCTATTCTGCAACTAGCCCTGTAGACCAGACTGGCCTTGAACTCACAGAGATCTTTCTGCCTCTGCCTAGGGAGGACTGGACTTAAAGGCATGTGCTATCACCACCCAGTCTAAAAATTAACTGTTTATAAATTACTATCATGTGTGTGTGGTATTGGGGGAGCGTGAGACACAACACACCCTTCGTGTGGGTCCTAGAACTCAGCCCAGCAGGCTTGTGCATTCCCTGCTGGACCACCTATCCAGCCGTATAGCCGCTTCCCAATGCTCATCCTCATGATTGAAAGCTCTGAAAGAGAGTCAATTTCCAGAAAGTCTTTCTGTGGTATAAGACATTCAAAGAGATTAATCTTAAGAGCTGGCCTCAGAAGAGCTTTCGTCCATCTCTCCTTCCCCCATTGTCTACCTCTGTGCCATTAGGAAAGTTCTGAAAGGAACCAGTACTTTTCAGGCAGAGCGAGGCTCCCAGACCAACACACCCCTTTCTTGATACCTGTCCCGACCGGCAGGACACTGGATGTGGGTCTGGCGGACACCCAGGAGAAAGATGGGGGGCAGGGGACACAAGGATGGACGCCGAGACAGGAGTCTGATCAAGGCGACAACTTTATTCATCCCAAAGGGATTTATATAGGAGAAGGGAGGAGGGGAAGGAATGGGGGTGTGCTGCAGCTGTGATGAGCCTGGTGGGGCAAAGGTCAGTGCTGCCTGGAAACCTAATTCGCAGGGCAAAATGTTGGGGGTAGAACCTCCTTTGTTGCTAGGTAACCTGACCGTAGATTCTTACCTTATCTGTCTCCATCTCTCCTATGTCCTCATCTAACTCCTGGTGGAATAGGGGGCTTTCTGTTGAGCTAATCTTTAACTGCTAATTAAGCTGCAGGCCTGTTTCTGGAATTTGGCAGAGGTAGCAGGGTGGTCCAGAGTCATGTACTCTCTCTGAGGGTTGAGTCATATCTTCTCTTATGGGTACGTGAGGCAGCCGTTTCTGGTTGATGGCTGGAGGACCCTGACAGACGCCAGCTAATGTGATGATCAGAATCAATTCCGAGGGCTGTTTCTTTTCTTCCCTGTCCTACTGGAGAATTGTCATGAATTTGAGGTCAACCTAGGTTGCATAGTGAGTTCCAGCACAGCTATATTATGGAGAGCTGGAAGGCCCTCGCTATGTACAAACTCTCAATTAGGGCGTCCCAGCATGCATGAGAATAAGCCACAGAAGCTCATAGTCTATAAATTGCCTGGTTGGTGGTATTCTATTATTGCATCACAAAATGGGCCAAGACAGTATTTGTGCATGCATTGGTGGTTCATAATTCAAGAAAGTGCATCATTCCAAAGCCCTCAGGGAAAAGTGGCAACAGGAGTTTGGCCCTGGCTCTGCGTCTCTTGTTAAGATGCAGTCTTCAGCTGATGAATCTCTCTGTGGTTTGCTCTCAATACTTTCCCCCTGAAACAAACTGTAGATTTGTGGATTTTGTTATTAGGCTCCTATGGGCATCCTTGAGTAAGAGAACCCTGATTAGCAGCCATTTGGGTAGTGCCACAAGAGAGTTAACACTGGAGTCCCACAGAAGATCAGGGTCCAGCCCAGTCACATGGTCAAGCAGTAGTGAAACTGAAGGTTTCCTGTTTCAGATCTCTGCTCCACGGCTACATTTTCCTCCACACACTGATTAATGGAGACAATGAAGGGCTGGTTGATTGTATGTTTATTTATCATGGCCACATGTATGGTGGGGGCTGGACTACGCATGCGCATTAGAGAACTAACACCAAGAGTTGTCTTCTGACCTCCACACATCAGTTCTCACTCCTCACCTCTGTGTGAGTTCCAGGGAGTGAGCTCTGCTTATCTATCAGGCCTGCCTGGCAAGCATCTTTATCCACTGAGCCATCCCACTGGCCTCTGGAGGAATATTTACTGACACGGTTTCAGGGGAGGGTTGTTTTATTCCTCAAAAGCAGAGTTTAGATAAACAGGTAGTGTTGTGGGGCCCAGGGTGGTCAGCTTTCTGACGGCAGGAAGACTTTACCCGTCTCAACACTGGATCTTGGGAGGAGGCCCAGGTCCCCATTCCTAGAAAGGCTGCAGTGCATGAGAAACAAGGGCTCCATGCATCAAGTTGCAGCCGGCTCTATGTCTGCTTATCCGTCTTCACATGCCTCTGATTTGTCCGTGTGTTAGATGCCAGCAATTCTAATTTGATTCTTAATTAAGACACATGTGTAAGTCAAATTCCATTAAAGCCTCTTGCCTGCTCAGACTCCAAAAGAACCTTCTGGAAGACCAACCTTAGGATGGAAATACAGGTTCTTGGGTAGAAGAGTTGGCCTTGAGCCTCTGACCTCCTTGCTACAACTTGGCTGGCCACATCACTTTCAGCTGGTGCCTTTCAACCTCCATCAGTCTTCCCTGTGGAATGGATGGGTTGATGCTCTGAGTGTTGCATCTTACTAACGCACCTCTTAGCATGCAGACCCTAGTGACTTGATGATTGCAATCACCATGCCTGCCTTTGTTGGCAGGCTATTTGGAGAACGGGCACTGCGATTCTAGCAATGTTACCTTTATAGCCAGAATCTCCTGTAGATGCTTCCAAGCTTTTTACTTCCTTTGCATGATCCTGGCACATGACCTTATCCCGAGAAGAGGTCACCTGAAGGTCAGGGCATCTCTTACATGAAGTAGACTGCCACACTAGGCCTAGCTTGAGCAAATATGAGACTTCCAAGCCCTCCTCCACGGTGACACATGTCCTCTCCCAGGACCACACCTACTCCAGTAAGGTCACACCTGCTAATAGTGCCACTCCCTATGGCCAAGCATTCACACACGAGTCTATGGGGACCATTCCTAGTCAAGACACCACACAGCCGCAGCCCACTATGGTTAGCAACATTATAAAACATTATAAAAACATTAGAGAACATGGCCTCTGCTGTGACCAAGCCTGGCACAATATCTTGGGGACCTTAGAATGGCCCCCAGTCTTTCCTGGGAGAAGCACAGGCTCTCTTAAACGATAAAATTCCCTGTCTCTAGTGAAGCCCAAAGCAACCCATGTGTCCTCTCTACTGGATCACTTTCTCCTCTGTGAAACTGGTATTAATCAAAAAAGTACTGACTGATCCTCTGCAGGATGCCCTGGAACAGCCTCAGCAATAGACCCTTCATTGATCTTGACATTGCTAACAGCTGAGGAGAAATTCCCATGATTCTGGAGTTCTCTAGACATGCACACTCAATTCTCAGATGATCTCATGAATCCAACACTGCCTCGGGAAGGAAAATAAACTTCCAAAATCTTCTTGGCCCTTGCAAGAAAGAGGACACCATTACCATACTAAGGCCATCAAGAGAGAGGATGCCATTACCACGCTAAGGCCTTTAAGTGGTTCCTTTCCTCGCTCTTAAGCCTGGGTGGGGGGAGGAGGGAGAACCAGAGCTTTTGTTCCCCAGCAACAGCAGATTTCATGGCTGTTTGGTCTGACTGTTTCCTTGGATCCCAAAAGACCTCACTTCCAGTGCTTAGAAAGCATTCAGTCTTGGGAAATGACCAGTCCCCTTTGTTGCCATGAAATGAAGTCACAGATCAAGCAAGGAAACCTGTCCAGCCAACAGCTTTGTGTTTATGTCACTTTGTCTCTGTTTAAATCTTCAGGAGGAGACGCACTGTGCCTGATACACCTTCCCGCCACTAGCAATGTGGCAGAGAACAGCCCACCTGCAACTTCTGTGCATGCATTTTCTGTAAATTTATCAGTATCGTTGTCACCTCTGATGCCAGGATTTCCCCTGGTAGTCAACCCAACTCCCTTCACTGAAGCCTTCAGGGTGAACAGACTGTCGGGGACTGACTTTGAGGTAAGGTCCCATGTCTGAAAAAAAGATATGCTCAGGATTCCAGAAATCTGTTTCTCCACCACTGCTTGAGTTTCCCTTCCACCAAGGAGCCCCAGTCCTCCTGGGCTAGATGCCCTGGCAGTCTTTGCTCCTTCCTTCTCTACTCCTACAGGCCCCTTGAGTACTCTGACCTCACACGTCACTGGTGACAGTGTGCACTGGCTGGCCCTGTTCTTTGGAAGCAAAGAGGTGAGTCTTGACATTTCGGGTCCTGATAACCTTGAATCTAGGGAGTCTACACTGCTGTGACTCTGTGGTTTATTTTAGGAGACAATGTGAAAGAGATTTAACATGAAAGACACACACACATCTGTAAGCAGACTGCCTCAGAGCCGAACACTCACACTCATGTGTCACGCCACGGTTTCTCTGGGTCTAGTTTGTCATTTGAGTCTTTCCTGAAGTTGTCACTTCCCTATAGGGAAAGCCAACATGAGAACATCCTTAGGATCCGGGATCTGGACTTGCTGCCATTTGAGAGTCGTCCCCCTCAACAGGTTTGGCAGCCTCCTGAACTTAGAGACAGCTGTGGCATGGGTCCCTTGTATCCTTGTGGGGCACATTGGGCTCAGGCCTGTCTGGTCTAGACTTAGTTGCTTCCATGAGATCCGTACGGTGTTCTTAAATGTAGCAGGAAGATCAGGGGCCTGCAGCTGCCCTGTAGAACCCATGCCCTGAGTCAGAGACCAACGTCTCTGCACTGGGGGTGAGGGGATTCAGCCAACTTTCACCTCTCATCTTCCAGAAGTTCTCAGGACCCAGATACTGGCTCCAGGACTCAGCTGCCCTGCCTATCTATTCGTGACATCTGGCCTGCCTTTGGCAGCTGCCGCCAGTCTGTTCCCTTAAGCCCTGCAGGATGCTCACAGTTAGAGTGCATCTGTGTTCTGTACAGCACTGAAAAGGGTTCTCACGCTCCTGCTCTCAAAATTCACAAGGCACTGTGGTGTAGTTTTAACATCACCCTACCCACAGATGAGAAAAAAATGAAGCACAGAGAGACTGTGTAGTTTGTCCTAGCTTGCACAGCCTGTGTATAGCTGAGCTGTGGCTGCAAACTAAGACACATAGCTCTGGAGCTCTCATGAAAAACAACAAACCAACAACAAAACACGTATTTATTGACCTGTTAGTTCACATGTAGAGCCCAGTACTGACAAGTAGAGGGTCTCCCCATCCCTATAGGGCTTGTCACGGCCCAGGGATTTTCTCCTGCAGGAGTGTCTCTTAGGATAGCTCTGAGCCCTTGGGCCCAGCAGCAGCCCAGGAGCTCTCCAAGGTTCTGTGTGGCCAGTGCCCTTCTCAACCATGGCTTAGTCTGACTCCCGCTTTTGTGGTTAACTGTTCTGAGAACTATGGACCTAAATCTTTGCTGAGCTTTGTTCAGGATGATGCTGAAGCCCACACAGGCAAAGCCACACTTTACCCTCTTACCCCAGATTCTTCGGCCAAACTGAAGCCCCCACCCCGCCTGGTACTTAGGGAGAGCCGCTGCCCTTTCCTGACTCAGTCCCTGTGCGTGAAGTGGAGCAATGCTCGCCAACCTATAGCTATCATGACAAAATATCAAAATGGTTTGGCAAGAGGCAGATCCACAAACATTTGCAAACCCTGGTGAGAGCAGACAGGTTTTCCATTTGCATTGCTAGCCACATGACTCCTTTGTTTCTAAGATGTAACTTTGGACACTTGTGAGAAGTCTATTGTTTCCTGTAGACGGTCCCAGCGAGTTCCCAAGGAGAAGGAACCAGCAATAGGTGACATGGAAGGAAAGGATCTGTCTAACAGGACACAGAGGCGGTTCCTGCCTGAGCAGGAAGCAGGTGTATGAATTAGGAGGCACGGGACTGTCTGCTGACCAGGTGGATGTGTACCCTTCACCAGCTCCCTTCCCAGGGATGAAGCCAACCTTTGCATAGGGTTCTTAATGCCAGATCGCGCTGAGCACAGCCTTTGATTCAAGCTCACTCAAGCCTCACAAGACCTTGTGTAGCAAGTGCTATTTTTATCCTTGTGTTACATATGGGGAAACTGAGGCTACACAAGGGGAGACTGAGCTTTTGAAGTCATTCAGTTTGGCTCTGAGTCTCTGCTTGTGAAGTGCTACCCTCCCTCACCATCTGTGCACAGAGTAGACAGCCCAGCTGTGAGGCTTAAACACAGGTTCTCTATAGACACCAGGTACCTCTTCTCTCTCTGCCCATCCAGTCTTCCTCCACTGTGCCTGTGGCTACCATCTCTTCTTGTAAGCAGTCTAGATCTTCAATGTTAAACCTGATACCCTCCGCCTCCTCCACGCAACCCTCTCTCAATAGAGATAGCTTACGGCAAACTCTTCCCTTTCCCTGATCCCCACCTCTGCTATAAAGTGTCAGCGTAGCACAGGGATGACTCCCTGAGTTATAATCATATGGGAGCAAGAGCAGAAAGGAAAGCAACTCCCCTGGGGACACACACAAGTTCAGAAGAGGAACTGACCACAGCTAAGAGCTGTCATCCCTCGATGCTGAGTGTTCCACATTAGCAATCAAAGTTCTAGAAGAAATGTACTCCTTCAGCTAGGGTTGGTGCAGTAGTAGAGTACTAGCCTAGTGTGTGAAAGGTTGTGGATTCAGTCCCCATTAATGCAAAAGAAAGGACAGGGATGAAAAGGAGAGATGGAGGAGAGGAGAGGTGGAGAGGAGAAGACAGGAGAGAAGTAGATTAACTTTAATGTTTGCTCACTCTGCTGTCTACTCCTATAACAGCATGGCACAGACTGGGTAACTTAGAAATAAAAGAGTTTTTTTCCTGTTCTGGAGGCTGGGAGTCCAAAGTCAAGGTGCTGTTATCTGGCCAGGACCCTCTGCTGCAGAAGAGCGTGACCAACATAACTGTGGTGAGGTGACCAGGAAGAGAGTGAGTTGGTGAAACAAGGAACACCTGGGAAGCAGCCCTCTCTTGAGATAAGGTGTTGGTTGACTCAGTGGAATGCTCTTCTCAGCACACACCACCACCTGTTACTGGTTAGCTCACGCCAGCCAAGCTCACACCAGCCAGTGATGTAACACTGGTCATTCCATTTCAACACAAGCATTTTAGGGGATAATTAAATGACAGTATGCCCCTGGACATGTAGGAGTTGTCCAGAGTACCTAAGGGGCCTATCTGGGCCTAATGCTAAGTGGGATAGGTTTTAAAATTCTGAGGCTTTCCATCTCCAGTTAATCACCCAGTATGTCTCCATAACAGTTCTGTTTCCTATGAAAAGTAGCATCACCCACAGGAGTGCCTTGTGAGAAGGGGCAGGGGCAGGGCTTATGTTGGAAGGGCTAAGGGGGAAGAGCAGTTGTCTCTGGCAGCTAGAAGAATGGCGGGATGCTCCCTCCCTACTCAGAGCCCTTGGGAAGCGCTTGTATACAAAGCCAGCTATGTACATGTTGGGACTCTTCGGTTTCTTTTTAGGTTGTCACCACTGGGAAGGAACAACTAGATTTTGAAACAGGACCAAAAATATTTGATTTGCAGATTTATGTTAAGGATGATGCCCATGTTACAGACTTGCAAGTCCTGACTGTTCAGGTGACAGATGTGAATGAGCCACCTCAGTTTCAAGGCAACTTGGCACAAGGTGAGACATACCCAGACAATGGCATCAGAGAGGACCCTGAGGGACAAACAGAGAAAGTAAATGAACAAGCAGCTGCTCCCTCGGAAAGGCAGTTGCTTACTGAACAGGAGGAGTGCGATGTCTTCCTCGGCTCCCCCAGCCACCACACCCAGCAAATTTAGAGCCTAGCAGCTTTGCTTCTCTCTGTACCTTTCAGTCCTAGGAAGAATGCTGACTGCAGGGACCTCAAAATGGAACATTTTAGAGGAACCCAGACTCAGCCCACCGTATTCCACAGCCATTGCCCAGCTGTCTAGTTCTCCCTCATGGACTCGGGAGGCACCATATGCCCTGAGCCTGCCCGGGAGGCAGTGGGGACAATCTAAGGAAATGGAAATCTGGGGGTGTAGCTTGGTGAAATCTGGGGGTGTAGCCTGGTGGGGGGGAATGTGTGCATCACATGCACAACGCCATGGGTTCAATCCTCAACATCACAAAGAATAAACGCAAGGGGTGACGGGATGGCTCAGCAGTAAAAGGTAACACGTATACCGTGCAAGCCTGGCGACCCGAGTTCAGGATCCAGCACATACATCAAAGTGAAAGAGACAGCTGGCACACAAGGTTGTTCTCGGTCTTCACATGCACGTTGTGGCACGCACACCCCACACACCATGCACATGTGTGCATTCACACACAGACATTGATAATAAATAAAATTTAAAAGCACAGATAATGATAAAGAAGATACAACTTAGGGCCATTCCCATCAGAGCTTGTCAAGTTCCTGGTTATGTGTACTATCTGTGCAATGAGAACCCCACGCACATTGTTCCTCTTGGGCTCACTCGGAACTTGCAGCTCAGATATCCATCTGTTTCACCCAGTGTCTTGGGCATCTAAAAGCTTCTCAAACTCAGCAAGTCTCTCAAAGCAAACTCTTTACTGTCACCTCACCCCACACTGCCCCACACTTCTCTAGTGTCCTTACCCCCGCTGCCTTCTGCTGGGAGTCCATGTGTATTTCACAGCGTCTCTTTGACATAAGAAGGTGGAGCTGAGCGAGGCCACTAGGGAGGCTTCCAACCTCCCTCTCATCCTCTTTCCAGCCAGTGACAGTCCAAATCACTTCCCATGACTGAAGACATGACACCTAGCATCATAGTGATATCCATCCCTAGGTCTTACCATGGCTGCTCTCTCGGCTCAAGATGCCAGCCTGCCTAGTTGGTTCCCTTTACCTGCATTGTCTGGATGGCCTAGTGTCTGATGAGACATTCTGTTCCCCTTTGACTTTGAACAGGTTTGAACCTCTATGTAGTAGAAAGAACAAACCCTGGATTCATTTACCAGGTGGAGGCCTTTGACCCAGAAGACACGAGCCAGAACATACCCCTCAGTGTAAGTATCCTAGGCTGCTGCTGTGCATACCAGCTTCGGGGTGGGAGCTTGATGGCCAAGACGACCAGGTGGGTAGCAGGGGGAGTAGAGGGAGGTACTGTCACTTCCAAGACCCGGCCAGGGCTCTGGGTGCATGGCATTTTGTGCTCTCGCACAGACTCATAACCTTGTTGAGCTCCTGTGCTTTCTGAGCGACAGCAAAAGCAGGAAAGTACCTAGCATAGGCAGTGATAGCTCCTTGGCGAGGGCTGCATGTGAAGCCACTGGCCCAGGCCAGGTCAGGCTGGCCGCATTCACTTTCAAGCTGATGCAATGACACCATGCTATTTTGAACATGAGCACAAAAGGCACACCCCCAAACCAGGCACTGCCATCCTTCCGAAGAGACAGGCAAGCTTGCAGCAAAGATACTTTTCTTTTTAGGGGAGAATTAAGTCTCAGAGATTTTCATTGCCTCACCATTCATGCTGAGAAGGCTTAGGTCTCCTGCTCCTGGCACGCGTTTGAAATCAGATTCCTTTTTGGAGCTGGGGCTTTTAGACTCAGTACACCTCCCCCCCGCCCCCCCCCTTGAAGTCTCTGAGCTATTTCTGGGAAGGGTGCCTTTCTTTGCTGAGGCTGAACTGTCCCTGCATCTGCCTGGATCAGTCTTGAGGAAAACATGAAGGTTTACCAAGGTTGCAGGGTGCCCAGCCACCAATCCTACTCTCTGTTGAAGAGTATTCTGAAATGGGGTAATCGGGCTGTCAGCAACATCTGGGGCCTGTTTCTTCCAACTGCAGCTTCTAACAGGACAAAGTGGTTCCTGGGATAATCTCCAGGACCAATATAGGTCACCACAGGATCTGAATACCTGCCAGAAGGTTGTTGGCATCTCTAAAGTAACAGATAAAAATTCATTCATTCATTTGTTCAAGGTTCATTGTTTGAACAAAGGAGTCAAGGCCATGATGGAAAAATCCACAGAATCAGCTGACCTGAGCTAGTGAGAGATCACTGACTCAGGTCTGACAAATGGGGAATCTGCATAAGACCGAGCTAGACTCCCTTAATATAGGTGACAAATTGTGACTGGGACAATATGTGAGGCCACTGGCAGTGGGTTCAAGATCTAACTCTACTGCACAAACTGACTTAGAGGAGCCCTTCTATATGGAGAGAGGCCTTGCCACCTTAGCTGATGGTTCCATAAGACTCACTTCCCTCCCAAAATGAAGGGTAGACTCAAGAAAGATCTAGAGCTCACACTGAACCCACATCCTGGAAACTGAGAAACATTCCAGTCCTTATCCAGTTTAAGGAAGTGAAGAGGACCCCGAACACTGGGAGCTTCCTCCCAGACCCCAGATTAGGCACAAACCACACCCAAACACCTGCTTTTACAGAGAGATTCTTTATCAGGTGGGGAAGGAAAGTCAAAATGGCTCCTTTCTGACTCACACCGAAAACAGCAGCAGATGCCCTTGCATGTGTCATTCTTAAGGGGAGAGGAAGGGGAGATCTGTGTTAGATGGTTTAGGATGTGGTGGAAAAGGAGATAGGAATGAGGGAGAAGGGGAAGGGGACAAGGGAAAGGCAGCGAGGATATTTGTCCCAGGGTAGAGAGGAGACAGATGCGGTCTGTAGGCCATGGTAGTTTATGAAGATAATCAGAGGAATCCTGCATTAGGACGAGGTGTTTAACTTTAAGTGGGCATGCTAACTAGGTGAGCCACAGGGTGCTTTGATGATCATGCTCAGGGGGAGGAAGGGACCAATTAAGGGAATAGACCTTGGTAGCCAGCTTTAGGATTGCCATCTAGTGGGGATGGGGCAGAATGGCCAGGCCTGCCATAGCCACACACTCTAGAGGGCTAGTGTACCATTCAGAAGAGACAGCATGTCACAGACCATGTAAAATGGGGGTGCATTCAGGAGCCACCACCTTTGCTCCGTCACTGGACCCTGACAGGCATGACACTGTGTGCTGTTCCGACCACCTTAGTTCTTTAGTGTACTGTCTATGCAACCAGAGATAAATGCAGCATATGTTGTTTTCAACGTTACAAGTACAGCAGTTGGTATTAATCACTGCTAGATCATAGACCCTCCAGCTGCCTCTCTCCACCCCAGAAATCAGGTCAGACACCCCTGCAGTCTGTCCCTTAGGACAGAGAACTGACAGGAGCCTGCGGTGATGCAGCCCAGCCCCTGCACATTCCCTCTGCTGTCCAGGACCAAGGCTGAACTAGTACCTGCCTACTGGAGTGTAGGCTAAGAACAAGTGGGGAACTTCCTGCTGTTCCCTAGGAATCCATGAGTGGGTAAGGCCACTTTGTTATGTGGATTTAAAGGTTCTTTCCTTCAGGAACCCTGTCATGCTGAACCCAGCAGTTGCCTCTCCTAGGGAAACTATTCTTTGGAACTTGAAGGGAGACTTCCTCCCCCCCACACACACAACAATGGTTGAAAACTGTCTTTCCTAATAAACTGTTGTGAAGGATGATCTCATGTCAATTCCTCTCTACAGACCTGTCCCTTTGTTCTTTCTCCCTAAGTTACAATAGTTATACTATGGCCCAATTCAATATGTATAACACACCATCAAATGACAAATGAGATATTTTACATTCGCTTTTCATATGATCTTAAAACTCCTAGGCTCACCGCCATTAGAGCAGTCACATTTCAGGTGCTCAATAGTGACATGCACTTGGGCTGAGGGCTGGTGTGAGTGCTCAGGCTTTTATCTTGACGAAGCTGTGTGCCCAGGGTTCCTTCTGTGTTCTAATCAGGACACAGGTGACTGGGATCCAGAGGCTGCATATGAAGGGAACGATGATCTCCCAGTGAATACCCAGGGCTCTGGCTTTCTTCTGGCACCCACTCAGGTTTTCCCCACCAGACGAGGAAGGCTTTGGGAGAGATCCCACTCCTTCCTTTGCTCCAACTGTCTCATTGACAATGGTCTGTTGGCTGCTGCAGAGCGTCTTTGGAGACCCTGGGATACTGACAGATTTTGCAGCTGGTGGCGGGGTGATCTAGTGCATAGCCCTCCATTGAGTGTGCTTTGTCCTCACCACGGCAGACAGAGGAGTGAGCTAAAAGAGCGGTAAGCTCAGTACTGAGAGAGCAACAGAACACCTTCACCTTTATCTCCTTGCTCATGGCTGTGAGAGGAACCTAGGCAATCCTTCTTCCCAGAAATCCTCTCTGCTGAATGGACCAATCAAGGTCACAAACAAACAACATCTTTGTTATTTATTTATGTGCTATTAGTGTGTGGGCAGTATGTGTGAAGGTCAGAGAACAGCTTTGTGGACCTGGTTCTTCCCTCCCAACATGGTGGTCAAACCCAGATCACCAGGCTTCTTTGTCGCGTCATCTGCTCAGTGCTGAGCCATCTTTCTGGCTCCCAGAGGTTCCTGTCTTCACCATCCCCACCTCAGTAGTTGAACTGATGCCTTCATACATGCCAGGCAAGTGTTCTATTATGGTGATATCTTTTTTGCACAAATAAAGTCTGTCTGGGAGGTCAGAGAATGGAGCTTGCCACTAGCTAACCATAGAGGTCTGGAGGTCTGTACAGACAGACAGGAAGTGACATAACTGGGCAGAAACAGGATATAAGGAGGGAGAAACAGGAAATCACTCTCTTCTCAGATGAGATGTTTAGGAGGTAAGGTGTGTTGTGGCTTGCTCCTTGTCTCTGACCAATTAAGAACTCCTTTTACATTCTATCACTGAGCCACAGCCACAGCCCGCTTTAGACAGGGTCTTGTTATGTAGCCCAAATTAGTCTGTCCCAACCTTGTGAATGCTGGGATTATAGGCAGCTGTGTAATAATTTCCTCACTGATCAGAACATTCCATCCTGCTGGAAATTCCTTAAGCAGGAAGATAAACAACTCAAAATAGTGTCAGGAAGTCCCTGAAGCTGACCAGAGTCTTCTGGTCCCTGCCTGCCAGACTAAGCAATAGAAGTTGAGAGTCCCTCTCAGATGGAAGAAATCTGAGCTGCTGAGAAAACACAGACAAACTGAACTGCCAAGACTAGAGGCTAGCCCACATGCCTGGAAGAAGCAGAGGCCATCTGAGCTGCCTAGAAGAGGGCCAGAGCAACTGGGGCACCTGGAAAGGACACCCTCCAACCTGTTGAGCTGCCTGGGGGTGTGCAGTGTACTCCAGGTTCCCAGCTTTGTGAGCTGTCCCTACACTGGAATGGGCCTTGGTGATGTAGCTGTCTTTGAGTCATTTCTGCTCCTGTAACCCCTCACCCACATTCCTGTAAGTAACCCCCAAACAATTCCTTGGTTCACCAAGTTGGACTTTGGTGGAATCCATGCTTTGGTCTGTGTGGGTTCCCTATCTGGGGTGGGTAGACATGTGCTGCACCACCCCAAGGAAAGTTTTGTCACACAACGCAAGCATGTCCCACCATCTAGTTTCTGGCTAGAACTTTCTGGTATTTTAACAGCCATTTACTTCTGAATGAAAAAAGGAAGTAAGGTGTTGCTTGGTAGCTCACTGGGTAGCCAGACCTTTCTACCCTTTCCTTCCTCGAAGCTTTCCCACCACATGGACCCTACAATATGTCCTGCCTGTGAACCTCGAAGTCACACCTTGAAGTCATAGCAAAAGCCATGTACTCTGGGTGTTTGTGTGAGGCTCAAAAAGGAAAATCCCTCAGGGTTGGTTGATTAAAGCCCTACACCCCCAGGACCGATGGCTGTGCAAGCTCCTGAGCAGACCTAGGTGGATGGAGATTGTTGTCCTTAGGACTGGTAGACCCTGGCTCATGTAGACAAAACTGAGGCACAGGGATGGTTGCTGACTCTTTAGCAGGTAAACATGAGTGAAATAAGCTCTGGGCCTAAGGATACAGCTCAGTTGGCAGAGTGCTTGCCTAACATGCACAAAGTCCTGGGTTCAACCCTTAGGATGCCATGAAATCTGTTATAGAGCAGGTTGGAGGCCAGCTTGGGGCCAGTGAAATGCTGTCTCTAAAAACAAATAAGCAA